CCAGTGTTCATGGACAACAAGTTACCAAGCTCTCTGGTTAGCTGGTTGACACACATTTTCTCTGTTTCATACACAAACACGTACTAAACCAGAACTCCTTCACTTCGGGTCGGCCAGTGGAAACAGATGCAGACGCCAACATATGAGCAAAGTTCTCTGAGCCCAGAGGATCGATGGCTACGGGCTGAAAAGTGTCTGTTTGGAGACAAATGCGACTCCCTCAGAGGGAAAATGAATCTGTACGAGAGTTTAAAAACAAGGTCAGAACATTTGCATTTGGGGCCAACAAACAAGGATCTAGTTCAGTTGTGCTGAGCAGCTCCATGTGGAAGCGTGTGTGTCTGCACATGTCTGGGACTGTGGTGCATGTTTATGACATTTCTGTGTGTGTGCGTGTTGAGGTATGCGCATGTGGGCAAAGTTGCTGAATAGGTGCTATCAGGATGCAATACCTCAGTGTGGAGAGCCATAAATAATGCAGTGACCTGTCTTATATCCCTGCTTGACTGCTTAGCACCATTTACTGCTGCTTATCGTGTGTGTGTGTGTGTGTGTGGTCTGAATTCAGTAATGTGTCAGCCAGAAGGGGAGAAGCCGTGTTCAGCGGTTTGTGCGTTTGTTGTGAATATGTGGTCTAAATGCAGCGTCTCCCTGAAGATCACAGCTGATGTGGTCGACAGAACAGCGGCTCGACAAGAGGGAAGTGTGAGACAAAGCACACAGTGATGGTTGGATGTGGTGTCTTTCGTCTCGTAAAATTAGCTGCTCGCCACCGCAGCTTGAGGCAGAATCCAGTCAGAGGCGGCGCTGGATGGAGCAGCGGGCCCGTCCGTGACGGAGCAGAACCTCACGGATACTTAAAGGAGGATTCTGTCTTTTACCTGCTTGATAATTCTTGACATGACTTTAGACTTTTTCCCAACTCAGCATCTCCTTTGACACACACACACACACACACACACACACACACACACACACACACACACACACTGCACTTCCTGTACAGAACGCAGGCCTGCGTGCTGCAGTGTGAATACCAACGAGCTTTGCTATAGATTGACTTTGGCAAGCTGTGTTCGTACACTTCCTTGTTTTAACTGGCTGAACCTGAAAGCGGCTGGCAGGTTTTAAGGCGTGTTATCTTGAATAAAAGTCATTTATCAGAGCCTGTGACATGCCGTTCCATTAGACGGCTTAATGAGATGTGAGCTGTACAAACACAGTATTTCATCAAAAGTGCTTTTTATACGCGTCTCATTAAAAGATTTATTTTATTTTATTTTATTTTTTTAATTTTATGCCCCAACCAAATTCTGTAAAAAACAAAAACCGAAATGAGTTGCTCACCACAACCCTTCAGCCTCAACCTTGTTTTTGTGCCTCAGCTTTGACACGTCACATGACAGTAAGCAGCGTTTTCAGCTGCACTGCAGGCGGTGTGTTCGAGCTCATGACAAATGTAAGCAGTAAAACATCTATAGTATGCTGAGTGTAAAACAAACACTCCTAGGAGTTCAACTTTGTCTTTTTGTGATTTATGGCATGATAACTTTGTGACTGCACAGATTGTAGCCGCGGCTGCTGTTCTGCTGGAGGTGCAGGACGGAGTAACGTGACAGCAGCAAAAGCTGCTCAGAGGGTTCAGACGTACAGATAGCAGCTAGCTTTCTACTCCACCATGTGCCGTCCTGCCACAGCAGTGACTTGACATTTCAGTGCGTCTACGTGTGCGCCGAGCACATGCAGCAAAAATATCAAATTCACTTTAAAAGGCAGCTCATGCAAGACGATATCTGCACTCATCGCATCAATTTGCGTCATTTCCTGCCCTGTTTGGATGCGATAATCGTTGAATGACTTTCTCAATGTGTGTGTGTGTCCAGAGATTAATAGACTCTTAAAGTGGAGCAGACACAATACTTCATGCACACACAGCACCTGCCTCGCTATCACACCGGCCTTATTCATCAGACGCCCGGAGGTGCTGTCTCTCTCGGCTCTATGCCAGAGGTGAGAGGGAGAGAGGAGCGGGAAGTCAGACTGAGCCAAACTGTACCTGGAAAAAATGGATAAACCGACAGAGAAAAAAAAACTCTGCACAGGTGTTCATGGTATTATGTCCACCCACTCTCTGTGCACCGACCAGTCGGTTGTGGCTAAAGTCAGTTCACATGTAACGCTGGGGATGCTTCTTTATTACCTATCAAAAGGAACAAAATCTGTTTTAAAACTCTTGCTAGTCTATTCGTGGTACCGAATCTCATAGAATCTGATTTTAAGCTCACATTTCAGGACCGAGCCCAACAGCAGCCAAGTACACTTTATGGGTCCCGACGACGGGCCACTAACGGGCTGGATTTCTCTACCAAGCCCTGCTTTCACTCTCCTTGTGTCGACTCCCTTCGAGTTTTCGTTAAGACACGGTTAGCTAAGCGGTGAGCTAAAAGTGGTGTTTGGCTGATGCTGCTGTGAGATTCCAGAGTGGTTAAACACTAATCCAGGTGGTGCTGAGATGAAATGCATCTGGCCGGGTTGCACAGGCCGTGTAACTCTACTCCTGCATTACTGTATATCACCAGGGAGATTGGAACCAGATAGGAGGAGACAGACAGGACTGGCTCACAGCGTGAGGGACGAGGGGAGGCAGACCCGCAGAGCGCTGATCACTAATTGTTTGCAGACAGAGTGAGGCAGACACCACATATAGATGCCAAAGTGTCAATCACATTCTGAGCTCGGCGCTGAAATCTGACCTCCTCTTTAATCTTCACTTGCTGACTCTTGCATGTATGATACGCATCAGACCAGGATCTCGCATATTTTCCAGTCATGGAAAAAAAAAGTGAGATTTTCACCAGCAGCTTGTTTGACCTGGACGTGGATGATGTGTGAAGACGTGTCTGATGGAGCGTCGATGCCGTGCCTGTGTGTGTTCATGTCTGCATGTGTGACTTCTCTCAGAGTAGGCTTACAGTAGCCCGGCTATTCATAGAGCTGAACCACGTCGTGTTCTGCTGAGTGCTTTGACTCGGCGATGTCAGGCCTCTCAGCACAGCGGCGATAAATAAAACGTCACAGCTCAGAGGGCTGGACGGTGGCACAGAGCAGCACCTCCACCTCCTCCTCCTCCTCCTCCTCCTCCCGTTGTTTCGTCTTCTCAGGCAGGATGCTTGATGCGTATTTAGACACGACTGAAAGAATAATACAGACTGGCAGGAGCTTGACTGTGAGTTTGTATTCCTTTTCTCTCAAAAACAGGAAATTATTTCAGGGGTTGCTTAACGGCCAAATATTTCTCATCAAGCAGCCGGCGTTCACAGATGCTGTTTTATTAGAATAACCTGTTCCACTGTGGCCATCGTTTCTGCCTGAAACCATCTGTTTTGTTGGAGATATCCTGAGTGATCACATTGTGTGTGTGTGTGTTGAAATAATTCCTTCAGAATAATTGAACTCAAAGCTCTTGTTATGAATTTTATCTCCTATAATTCATTCTTCTGCGAGTGTGGAAAGACAGCTTATTACTCAAATTACATACTTCTGTTGGTGTTGTTTCGGAGCTGTTGAGTGAGCAAACTAACAGGCTTGGCTCTGCTGGGTCAAACTGCCTCATATTGAAGCTCTTGGGCTGAACAGAGGTTGCATTCATACTATACACCGCATGATGGTTTAACTTTAGTTTTGCGGATCCTAAACAATGAAGAAGTTCAGCTCTCATCGACAGCAGCGCAGTCCATCAAGCAGCGCAGACAGCGCTGTGCACAATACATGCATAGATGTGATGCAGTACAGTGGTGTGTGTTGTGCCGCTGAGTGTTACAGATATGCAGCAGTTAGCATCCATGCAGGAGTCCATGTGCAGCAGTGAATGAGTGGCATTGTTCAGGACATGACACAGACGTATGAGTGCTGACAAGTGGATCCGCTCTGTGACAGTAACTGTGGCATCTGGAGACTGTGTGTGTGTGTGTGT